AGAGTGTCATCAAGGGTGATGTTAGTTTGGAATAATCACCAGAGGTGGTTACCCCCTCACTCTGCCTGAAGTGCTTTTATTTGTAGTTTTCAAGATGTTAGTAAGTTTATAAGAAACAACCCTGTCTTACAGACAGTTCCAGAGCACAACCTTCAAACGACTCGCAGGTAGTCCTGATATCGAAAGATATCACAATTATTCCCTTGCAGTATATATAACGGTGTTCAAGCATCTGACAGATGGAGAACATGGCTAATGGAACCAAGAATCTTGAAAAGCTTACAAAGAATAATGACAGCCAATAGTTAAGACACCAATGGTACCATACTGACATGTCGATCATTATCACATATGTTACGCAGACCATTTTTGTGACAATAACTTCACTTAGGGGTAATACAGCACTCAGTTTGCCATGCTTTTTCAAATGGCCTAGTCAGTTATTCAACTAGTGTCACGTGCATCCTCAAAAAGAGTTTGGAACGTTCCTTGGGTTACCTGCTTTCTTATTTGTGGTTTTGTTTAGACCTCCATTTCACTAGTTAGCTTCGCAATTAACGGAGTACACTAAAATCTACACCGCTGAAACAGTGGACAGATCAAATCTCTTTTCGACGGGCTCGGTCCGGCCTCCCAGGCATCTGTGAGGGTTGTTAAATGACGTACCGCCTATTTCACGGACCATCCCAATGACACCGGGCTACTTTCTGCTGCTTCCACCTTCTTTGGGCTTTCCGATAAGCAAACCTTGCGATATTCACGTAAATGCTGCAAATGCGGCGTTACTCACCATGTTCATAGAGCATTGTAGATGTAGCCCATGCTCTGAAGCTTTGGCTCAATTTTGAGTCTAAGTCGGTTCGGTGCTTAGTTGGGATGCTGGGAGCAACCAATTTGTTTACTTTGGTCTGTATAGGTCAACGGTTTGGAAGGTCACCAAAACACAAGATCTAATTGAGATGTAATAAAGCGTGATCAGGTTCCAAACAAGTGCTCTAAAGGGGTAGCAATCTCGAATATGCCCACGTTGTTTGTAGCTTATTGCACTATTTGAGTTGAGGCTTCAGTCGTAGGTAATCACGTAACACAGTAGCGATGTCTGTGTCGAAGGTGGCTGCTGGATAGAAATATGTTGGGATCTAGAAGCTGGAAATGATGGTCACCTAGTCGACTCTCCCTTAGGTCTAGATACGTGGTCTGTGAACTAAAGTATCCAGCTATCACTACACTACTTTTTGGGCGAGCGTGATTGGGACCACTCAGTTGACGACAGAACTTATCTTTAACTTCATCTGGATATTGGTCAGTCGGAGCATGAAGAGATATTGTATCCCTTGTCAACTTGTTTCTAACTCTGATTGAATTTCCCAGCCTGACAGCACACGACTGTTGGTAGGGATTCAGTCAACCAGTGCAGCTTCAGCTCTGGCACGTAGTCCGACACCAACAGCTACTAGGACGAAACTGATGCTCCAAAACCCCTATATGGGTGTCCCGGCTGATGGCTGCAGCCTTGACCTGGTAGACGGAGTTGCATATTGCAATGATCCGACGAGCTACGCTGATAGGGACGCTTGCTTCCTCGAGATCCTACCATCCCAGAAAGGTCTGGTAAAACAAAAAGTAGTTTCCGCTTTAGTGTAAATTACTACACTATGATGGAGGTCTGAGGGTGAAGTCGTACTGCCGTCTGGATGGGTGTGATAGCAATAAGGTGCTTCCATCAGATGGTGAGTAGGGCCAAGTGGATGCTGCCTTCCTAATGGGGAGGGTTGGAAAAAGTCTACCACAAAAATAGCACACTCCTTCATGCCCCACGGTCTTCCGGTATGGCTTTTCTCTACCCGGCGTCATAACAACCAAATCTCAAAACAACCCCGGAAAGGCTGTGTAACGGGCCTACAGCAGACGTCCCATGGGCTGTTTAGTCATAAATCTTTCTCTGATTCAAGCACCTTAAGAACTAACCCTCCAAGGTGCGGACAACTGGGGAGTGTCAACCTCCTGCAAGCACCTAGTAGTACATAAGACCCAACAAAACAATATATCCTCCTCAACTATGTCTCCTCTTTTGCCTCCACTTCCTGATATTAAGCCTCTTACGCCTTACCCAACCTCTCATTCTGCGACCATTGTCAATGGTCGAAACCTCATCCCTGGTCTCCTAAGACCCTGCCATCGATTTCATGTTAGAGCTTTCAACGTCCAAACTCTATGTCAAATAGGACAACAAGTATCGCACCACAGAACTCTGGATCTCTAGCTGTGGATGTATGTTGTCTCTCAGATGTGTACAAGACTTGAGTGCGGTTATTAGACCGACCTCACTTGGCTATTGTAGTAAATCTTCAAAATTCACCATTCGAGTATACAGAGACCCAATGGTTAGCCCTTGTGGACTCTAGTGTGGGGATAGGAGGCATAGGTCACTGACAACCTCCAAAGACAGGCGTCTAGAACACTGAAGTACAGTTCAAATGACTCACAGCAGGGCCCCAGTTGTTCAACATCCAGGCTAGACCTGGATTTCGGTCTTATAACTCTCCTTGAAGTTGCGAAAGCTGTATCGAACCTAAAACTATCCAAAGCAGCACGACCCTACAGTTTGCCATGGGTTTCGCTAGCACCTGTCGAATGTAAAACGATGCTCCAGGACTGATCTGCAACTACTCCCAGTTTATGAATGATATATATTTTTAAAAGCCCAGTGCGGTAGAAAAATAAATTTCTGATGTTCCGCGATTTCATGGAAATCGCTTCTTCAGAGAATGAAACCTGCACAAGTTGTGGAGTGATTACTGTCAAGTGTTTTTCTATCTAGTAATTCGATAACTTTGCAGGTTTTACTTTCTGAAGGGCCAATTTTTACGAAGTCGTGAAGCGTCAGAAATTTACTTTTTTACGTCACTGGGATTTTACAAATATATTTTATTTATGATCCATTTACCCAATGCCCAACTTATTCAACCCCAACAGGTCAAATTTATTATCTTGAAGTTTATAATTTCCCAGTTTAATGATAGGGAGTGGCGTAGTAGGAGGTATCGACCACTTCACTTACTTGGGGATTAGAACCAACCCGTGGTTACCGACGTAATCATAGTTCGGACACAGAGGGCCTGGTTCGCATTTGCCAACTTGCGGCATCTCTGGTTTCAACTGGCGGGATTTCTGACTATTCACCAAAAGACGAGTACACTGCGCTGCAGTTTGTTCTGTCTTGCTGTGAGACATGGCCGTTAAAAGTAGAAGACATGAAGAAGCTTTGGACAACAGGCATCTTCGTAGAACTGCACGCGTTTCATGCCATCACCATGTGAGCAATGGTGAGGTGGCGCGAAGAGTAATAGCCAAGACAGGGAAGTCGACTGACGAGGTTGTGAACCTGTCGTCTGAGATTGCTCAAACATATACTGCACACACCAAGCCACCGCCTACCGTGCCGTGCCAGAAGAAGCGGGTTTGGTTGGAAGAGGGTCCACGGTGGCCAGACCAAGACCTGGCATCAGTTGAAGTCTCTCACCGTTAGTATGAGACATGTGGGGAGATGTAGACTGCCCGGTTGAGATCCCGAGATTATACAAATCAGTGATTGAAAACTCTTGATGACATAGTTAAAAATCGGTCACAGTGGTGCAAACATATTCGCTCTTTGACGCCTTGTAAAGCTTAAATATTCGCATTAACCTTTATCTTCAAATTGTTTATTCTTACACACAACTTTGTTCACTTTGATACCACACCTCTTCAATCCACCTGTTCTTTGTATACTACTGCGAAGTGTGGCAACTTGAACCGTTGGACTTGTGTGCGAGGTTCTATGCTGACTTTATGTCTGCCTTAACGAGCTTGTTATCAAAGAGGAAAGGTCTTAAGGTGGTGTCGAATATGCAGCGATATGTACTCGTACTCTTGTAAGTTCTTTCCCTACAGGATTCTATACCCATGCTTACAAATAAAAGGGAGGTTGTTGAAAAATTTTCACACTATGAAATGCTCCTGCCATTCATACCTTTACGTCTTGAAGACTACGACCAGCAAACCAACAGTTGTAGATTTATCGGGGTGTATTCGAAAACCGACGTAACTTTGTAAACACCTGCAAGTCTATGCACTTTGGGTTACAAGCATTGTACGGATGCTAATTTTACCGTAAACTTAATTTCGTGGAAATACAACCAATAAAATCTACTCAAAACTCCCTCTTCGGCTTAAATTACCACACTATCATCTCTCGAGCGGAAAGTTAAGACAAACTTAGATTTTCCGGCTTTTTCGTTGGAAAGTGCTCGAGCTTACCTAGCTCAAAATAAGCTGGTAATGACTAAATTAAAGCAATTCTGCAAAAAGCACTTATCAATCAGTCATAAAGTTAATGGCTGTTTAATCATATACTTAAAATCTAAGTGGTAAACACTGGGAAGAGAAAATCAAGTACTCACAGTAACTAGTTGAAGCCCAGAGGAAAAAAATGGTACTGTAACTGCTAATCTAGTGCATGAAAATTGACCATCTTAGCGTGAACGCAAACAATAAGGACATCTATAACTGGTAAATGATGCAGCTACGAAAGTTTGGCTTCACTGGCAACACCACCAGGTAGCTTATTCAGTTTACGTCCAGAGCAAAACATAAACAAGACTCTGTTTGGTATGAAGTATATACAGTATATAAAAAGGTAAAAATAAACTGGGTCCAGATAATAATTCGATAATTCTAGCGAGTTGAAGACGACAGAATTCTAGATTAACCAGAGCAGCCACGACAACCGCAACTTTGACACTCAACAACCTTTCCCTCTTCTAACTTTGACTTAGGAACTCGGCATACGCAGTTTGTCCCGAAGTTCGTATCCCTAGACTGGATACATCTTAAACAACATAAGTTTTCGTAACCTTGCTTCTTCCATTTCGCAATCAAATTGCCGTCAGCGATTTTTTCTTTCAGGCAAAACTCGTATAGCTCCTGTTATACATGTAAATATAAAAAAAACGACTTACTTTGGAAATAGCTTTCCTTTTATAGTATAGATCATAGATGAAACGAGATCTTTTATGATGGATACGAAATATAGGCCATTCAGCCTCCACTTTACGCTTTCCTTCATGAGGATCTGCTTCTGCTTCTCTCATCTTCCGATTAAGTTCCTCAATCGTAGGTTCGATTAATTCCCATCCTTCCGGTGGAGGCTTTTTGCTCCTCCTAATAGGCGCCATTTCTAAGACTTGAAACTACCTCAATTGTAAGAAAAGTACTAAAACAAGTATGACAATATCTTCATGACTAAAAGATGAAACTAATACCTTCAGAATTTTCATATATCGTTACTGCGATAAAGTTGCATAGCTGAAAACCATTCTGACAAAATGAGTCTAAAAATAACTGATGAACTATCCTGTGTATCTGTATTGGAGATATGACAGAAGTTTCGAGAGCAGCGGCTGTTATTCACCTACTAGAAAGAATATATGGAGCCCTTCTTACGGATTCCTGCGTAATTACTTTGAAACCCCCATCCAACGTCGAACAACACTTGTACGAGCAGAGAAAACCTGTAGTTTTGAGCTCTTGCTCCCAAGTATATTACTTGCCATCTCTATGTACGTGATGTGAAGGTGAGGATTAGTGAAGTGAAGAAAAACCATAAATTTCGAACCCTCGATTTTATTAATAGAGCTTGGTATTTTTCTGGGGTTGTACTTCTATGCACGAGAAAATCTTCGGCAATGGTATTCTTTTAGCGCTGGGGAGGTGCCTACTTTTGTGGGTTTTGTATCTTCCGTTTATATCTAGAGAAAATGAATAAGCTTTTGGGCTGCTGGTCAGATTAGGATTCTTCTTGCAATCAATGTCTATGTAAGCACCATAGTCTTGATAGAATGGGAAGGAACAGAGAAAGGAATGCCTTGGGGGGAATTTGATACGCCTTCTACAAGCTTGTTTAAAGCAGCTGACTTCCCTTTCCTCGCTTTCAGGTCTCGTGGATCTTTGATGAACTCTGACACAGTAATTCTTCGGCTCTAGTGAGTCCACTGGGTGTAGTTGAGTTGACTAAGTTTATAGGATGTAGGGTTTGTCCTGGGAGTGTAGTGCATATAGATTCGTCAGATGTCGTGTTGCAAGACGGTTGTTCGTAGTGGTGTGGAAAGAAGATAAAGATGTGGAGGGTAGTCGATGGAAAAATTGGCGAGCAAAGGAGGAAAAAGAATTAGGGTCGTAATGAAGGAGGAATGCACGTAAATCTAAGGAAGAGCGGTGGGAAGCACTGATGTGGACAGCGTAAGTGAATATGGTTGAGTTGTAGAGAGTAAGGTGGACGAAAATGAAGGAGACAGTTTATGGCAGGGAAAGTGGAAGTGGGAACAGTTCTGATATCAATAATGAGACAACAGCAGGAGAGGTACAGTAGGGTAGACGATCAGGTACAGTAGGCAACAATACTAATACCAACTTCATTCTTACAGATACAAATACGGGCGTGGTGCAGAGTTAAAGCAGAAAATATAAGAAGATAATGGGTTTCCACGTTGCACTGATTCGTCACGGGAGAGCAATCAGTCATTGCGCGTAACCCAGTTTAGAGGACGCTAATCGTGGTCCGAAAAGCTCAGTGGTAAAGTCACTGACTTCAAAACTGGAAAACGCGAGTTTAAATCTCAGGTGGGGCATCAGTTTCGCCGGGACTGCAGATGAGCCCTGTTGACGAGTGCTAACAAACACGAAGTCTGGGTCCAAGACTTCCTGCTGACTGGCTCCAATGAACTGACATCTACGCGTACCCAGAGTTACTGTACATGGCAGTCTTTCAGGAGGATGAGTTTCCATTACATTTCCTAGAGGAGAGAAATATCTGGGGAAATATTAGATGCTATTATGGCATAATTCATTCTTAATACAGAAAGGGTTGACAACGCCATACAACTAACCAGCAGCCAAGTTCACATTCGATTAGTTGTAGATGTTAAGCTTGAAGGAGCAGGATATCCTTGTCATGCCAGCGATTTGTAACATTTTTCAATGATTAGAAACCCACAGAATTGTATTGATGGGATAATACTCAGATGTGAATGGAAAATGAAAACAGACAATAACGCGCAAGGTTCCCTGCTGGTATCACGAAAGGACAGGGAGCAACAAGAGTTGAGAACGAGCATAAAGGCCACTGAACCTCTAAGATATGAGTATGTTTCTGAAAGAAACTCGCTAGCAGCAAAACGGTGACAATTTGTCCACGTGGAAATGTCGTCGGATTTGAAATCACCGGTAGGTATGCAATTATGTGTTAGATGGTGGATTTTTTGGTATGGTTTTGGACTGAGATGAAAATAGTAAGCCAAGACATGTTACGGAGTGATGGAATGATATGAATTCAGGACAGCATCTGTAGAGGGAAAGGGAAAAAAGGCGACGAGAGGGCACGATAAGAGATCGGAGACGTCTAGTAAAAAGTACCTTATGGAAGCGATGAGAACCGCAGTCAAGGATTTTTATCGGGGAACTTTGTCGCAAAGACTAATAGCCACAATAGTTTTATAAGTTGCTGTGCGTCATGAACCAAACAGCAGGGATAATGTTATTCAGCACTTCTATACATCGGCACTAAGTTTTAGTTGCATTCACCACAGATGCACGGGTATGAAACGTCCAGAGAGTATTATGGAACGACTATGCACTAACATCTTTAAACAGTAGATTCTGTTGAGTAAGATATAAGTTATAACCTTATTCGATGAGAACAGGAAAGGTGCAAAAATAGAAGTCGGCAGCAGTAGGTGTTGGGGTGGTGACGCCGAAATGGGTGCGAAAGTGGCTAAAGTGGAAACGATTGTGAGGCAGAGATTTTAACGTGATCGCTGGCATTTCTGGATAGAAATTTCACTAGTTATTTATGAGAGGAAGACGTAGGCAAAAAGTAGTGTCACTACACGATTATGTGTAGCTCAGAGCCGAGAAGCGATGTCATTTAATAAGCATTATAACCCGTGGCCGCGCTGTACTGTTACACATGACTTGGCTTTGGATGAGGGCAGTGACCTCGTTCTAAGTACTCACGTCAGAAGCACCGGCTATCAGGTAGCTTCTCCTAAAAAACCTGCCCATCTAGGAAGTTTTTCCGCATTTCGCGGTTGTCTTCAGTAATACTTATGTTATTAGAAAGTTGTACTCGATAGTAGGAGCCGTAGCAATCACTGAGCTGTCCCTCAGATACGATTGGATCTCACACACCCCCATCATCATTTTCACTGAGCGTCAGTCACCGGCTTCTTTCTTGGAGAATACTAAGCCCCGAGTATGGGTTAATTTTGCAATGTCCAGGACAACAATTCAACCATCCCGTGCCGTGCTTGTATTTGTTTTTTCATCAATGAAAGTTATCATGGAATGAATAACTACTTTCGGCAGGTGACCCAGTGCACCAAAGGGAGAAAAATGTTTCCTTCGAGACCCCTTTAGACATCTGTGGGCAGTAGGCTTCAGTGGTTTCAAACTCGCGGAGAACTAAAATATGAAAGCCCATGGGTCTTCGCTTTTTGACGGACAATCCTCCTTGAGTTTTCCGTGTGGGTCTTCTTGTTGACATTCGAGTAATATCCCTCCATTCAGGTGACTCTGAATATCAAGCATCTTACGATATATCATCATGTCACCATATATCCCATGGTACCAGAAGAAAGATGGAATCACGTAATTAGGCTTCCTCCACTTGAGGCCCGTTGGGTCTTAACGACATACTTTTCGGCACTTCTCTGAAATTTCCCCAAGAAGGGTCATATTTGCGCCACGTAAAACTTCAGAAGTAGCTACGGTGGTAAGATACCTACGTCTTTACGATAGAAAAGCAACACAGCGTAGCCCACGGGGGCGTCTCCTGGACGGTTTAAAACGGCGTTAATATTGTTAGTCTGCGTTAGACCAGGGTATTTCAACAAAATTGTGAGAAAGACTTGTGCAACACGGAAAGAGGAACACTTTCTTTGAGTCAGAAGTGAGGCAAGAAACGGCTAGGCCTTTATCCACGCCAAACGTCAGTCCGTTCACTGAGACCAAATTTTCGTGCATTCCAAGTTCTTCTTGTGGAGTGATCAAGTACCTCATGAACCTCAAAAATCTCCACAACCCGACATCGCTGGCGTACAATAAACTGAAGGACTGAGGCTAATCAGAGGTAGGAACAGCAACCAACCGGGGACGGATCTTTATTACGTGCTGGACGATGGCGTCCTCCAGGTTCAGTATTCATTAGAATACTGAGTTGCAGAATACCCTAGCCTTTAACTAGCAACCCGGGCAATACAGAAACCATTCGCTGATAAACAGCCGTGGAAAATTGAACAGAGGGATGACGTGGAAGTGTGCTGCTGTGGCACTGGTCAGGCCTACAGAAATAACATGGACAAAGGCCTGGGGTCACATGATGCTATCTGGTTGTTACACACTCCTGGAACGGCACAGGCGCAGAACCTACACCTTCGGAAGCCGTGTTTGGTATCGCCGAGTGCTCTATTTCTTCCAGTGATGCTGCACAAAGCTGTTTATCAGGTATTTCGTTACTTCGGACGGCAGTGGAAAGAAACGAGGGAGTCACATACACTTCTTTTTTGTTCGTCCCTACCCCTGAAGGTGGTAGACAAAACAGCGCGTTTCAACTCCCAGAAGACCGCTGACCAGGTTACACAGGGAGTTCACATGCTGTTGGAACACAAATGGGTGCCTTCGTATCATAAATTTGGGCGTATTTGAATGAATCATTACGTGGCCATCTGGGGTCTGTGTAAATCTTCCTCACTGGGTAACACCGGAAGGTGTTCCGAATGTTGACAGGTGTACTGGACTAACGGGTTGCCGATCTGCATTTAAGATGGCGCCAAAGGACTCAGTAAAGTTCGACCAGGGGAGATAATACTTGATTGACCCCTCAGTCATGCATGCTTCCTGGTTGGTAGACATTCACCTCTCCATGGTCTGATATCGACTCTTGAAGTCTGTCTCCGGTTTTGGCATATATTTCAGCCCAAATGACCTTTATTCTTTCACCTGCAGGTGTTCTATCGGTTCCTTAGGACCATGTGCGCGCTATAATTCGATTCTCCTAGATAGTCTTCGTTAGTGTCATACTTTTTTCAATTACTTTCAAGAGGCATTTCCTACCACTTTTTAGCCACCAGATACTTCTATTGGGCGTTGTTAACACCATGAGGACATTTCTAGAGATCGC